TTCATAATAATGTTAAACGATAGTTGTAGACTGCTATACTTTTTTGAAAAAAATTCAGTAGTTTCTAATGTCCATGAAAAAATTGTTGATTAGTTTCGATTCTCATTCTATGATTTCACATATGAGAGGCAAAACTACATTGATGTATTGAGTCAGTCTCAATTGACGTTTTTTTTCTCAAAATAATCAACAATCTCATATTTACACTACTGTTTACAACGATTCTGAATATTTTATATGTTTTGTTCTTAGATCTTGGTATTGAAGGAAAAATTAAAAAAATATTAACACTAGTAAAATGATTCTCCTATAATCAGCAAAATCTCAATTTCCTTAAAAACGTTTCTCTCGTATACAAATTAAAATATTAATTAAGCACAAACAACTAGTTACCTTAAATTTGCTGCTCTGCACAGTTGATACTGTTAGAAGATATGTTTCTCAAGGTTGTCATGTCTGGTTTTAGTTTCATTGCTAGACGAGATGCTTATTAAACGTTTTCTATTTCGATCAAGTGAACAGATTGGAATTTCAGTACTTTGTAAGCAGTCGATGAAGAATGAGGTAGTAGATTTGATGCAGCCGTCAGTGTCTTTTTGTCGAAATGTCAATATCTAAAGAGTATCTAATATTTAAAATAATGAATTTGAAGTTATGGCAGTGTTAAAATATTTTTTTATTTTACTTTGTAGCCAATATTCAATTTAGCAATGTAACAGAGCGAGTTTAATTCCATGCAAGATGAAAACATTCTTAATCAAGATATTCACCATAAACAGTGTCTTGTTACTTCAACTCCATTTCTTATCTTCTCTTAGTCAAATAACTTGTCTTCTTAGAGATAAAATTGATGAAATACGTTGGTAGTTGCCATTTTTTTCTTTTCAATACCAAAATAAACTTGTGACATAAACGAAAATAAAAATATGACTACTGCACATTCAACTGAAAATCGACGAAAAAGCAAATCGAAATTGAAGAAAGGAGTGGATGTTTTTATTTATATAATATACAGTCACGTGGAGAAATATTCTTTACTTTCAATATACAGAACGATTTCACTGGGTTTTTTTTTCATTCTTTATTTACTTTGCGCACATAAAATTCAGTTCTTACTCATACGCTACCTGCATTTGGCCATGTTTTTATGCAGAACATATCACTTTTCCATTCGTACGAATGCACTGTCACGTATGTAAATGGGGAAAAAACGAAACAAATTGTGAAAATCATTCATGCGTATAAAATCGATTTTACTTGTATTCGTATAAAATATTGCCAGGAAATGGCTGATGTCAAATTTGAGGGTAGGGGTGTGATAATAAAGAGTGGCATCTACACATTTCTTACTTGTGGTATTCTATGCATCTGCGTTTATGACGTTTCAAATATTTTCTGCAATGACAGAAATTCTCTTAAGAAGATGTTCATCAAAACCAAAAATAAAGAAAATCAATCATACCGACTCAATTTTATTTTTTGCTTTCTTCCGAATTGTCACAGAAATTTTTTCGCCTTCTTTCTTCATGGCAAAATTTTTATCTTTTTTTGCGTATTTGATTCTCGCTTTTCTTTTTGAATTCTTTTCATCCACATACTCTATTTGGAATTACTGCACCTGATAACATTAGAAAATTCAAGATAAAGAGCAACATATCTTTACTCGTCAACAAGAAAAAAAACATATTTGCACAAAGAAATGTACTACTTGGATATTGTGTACGCCGATATTTAACTTCTAGAGAATATGCGATAATTGATGCCGTTCAGTAATAAATAATAACTAATAAAGACACAGATTACGAAGAACTTATTACAAATTCTGATTTAAAAAAATGAATAGGCTACGATTATTCTCAAAATGAGTTCATATTCTCTCTCATTCTTTGATAAACGACACATACATGACTATAAACAATAGGCAACTATTGTGTTGGTAGATCCCACCCGGTCAGACAAAAATTTTGAAAAACGCGTTCAAGCGCACAATCGGAAACAACGATTATGAGCCATTAACTTTCATTCAAAAAACGCATAAAAACACGTTTATTGCCGTTTTCTGTAACTTTCTGGGCGTCAAGACGGCGAAAATTCCACCTTCTTTGAGCATTACAACGCACTATTATTTTAGAAATTAAAAAGAATACGTTTTAACGCTGAAAAACTGAAATTTTTGCTGTTTTGACGCCCAGAAACTTACAAAAAAACCCAGGATGTGGCTGGGGTATGGGTGTGGCTGGGGTATGGGTGTGGGGTGTGGGTGTAGGTGTGGCTGTGGCTGTGGCTGTGGCTATGGCTGTTGGGTGTGGGTATCAGTTTTGAGTTTGATCACACCCACACCCACATCCACACCTACACCCACACCCACACCCCACATCCACACTCACCCACACCCCACACATACACCCACACCCACACACCAACACCCATCCACATCCACACCCACACACCCATACCCACACCGACACCCACACCCCACATCCACACCTACCCACACTCACACCCCACACATACACCCACACCCACATCCATCCACACCCACACCCACACCCACGCCCACACCCACACCCACACACCCAACCCACACCCACCCACACGCACACCCACGCCCCACCCACACCCCACACCCACACCCACCTACACCCACACCCACACCCACAAACCCACACCCACACCCACACCCCACACCCACACCCACACACACACCCACACCCACCCTTTACTGAGAACTTGATCGAGCTTGCAGCTTTTTAAAAAGCATTTAAAAGCTATTTGGAAATCTTTTCTAACTTGCTGTATGATGTTTGTTATTCTACAAACATTAATCAAAGGACATATTATTGAACTGCAAACAATCTTAGCTCTTTCGTCCGTCTTCATCTTCATCGGCTTAATTGGTAGGGTGTGGGTGTCGATAAAGAACATACTGAGACCCATACCCACACCCTGAGAACAAATATTGATTTTTTCTTTCTTCTTAGCATCAAGGAAAAAATACAACAAGTGAAAAAAATTTTTCTTTTTGAAATAATGATTATTCAAACATATTATTGACATAGTGACGAATGTATATTCTTCTCTTCAAACGATTATTTCTGTCTATTCCTATGAACTCATCCGGACAAAGTGCAATTCGAACGATTCGTCAAGAAATGCGAATAAATGATAAATTGATTGTCATTAGAAAAATACAAACTTTTCGCTTAGGTGGTTTAGAAAGCTGAAACTTTCAGGATTAACTCTTCGTGCAACTAGCAATCAAACAGCACTTAGAAAAAAAATTTAGTGGTGATACTTTCGGAAATTCAAAGTTGTTGAAAAATCTATAGGGAACCATACCACTACCCAGAAAAAATCAAACGAACTCATTCTTCACATTTGAATCTCAAATTCCTCTCATAGTAAAAACTGTTCGACATATTCACCTTTAGCAATCACATGGCCGCTCTTTTCACAAGTAAGTATTATATCACTTCAGGTATGTCGCTTGTTTCAAGACTACATGCTTCTTCTTAGAGCATCACAGTATGACGAGCCCATACCCAATTAGGTGATCTGCAATTGACTGAATCAAATATAAAACTTTTTATTTTAACAGCAACAATTTTGTTTTTGTAATTGACAATGTCAGCAGAGAAAGACTATCGAATATGACAGAATTCACTGTTGCAGAAAAACTGCAAAAGTGAATTCTGTATAGACTATCTTTATGATGGAACTAACTGATATTGTGCAATTACATTGGCACTATCACCTAGTGACGTATATAACACGACCATTGAATGTTTTTCGTTCTTCGTATAGTATACATATAGGCTGTTTATAACTAGCGAACTATTATTTTTACTATACGATGACATCATTATACATTCTTTTTCTTTTATCTTCCATCTATACAGGATAGATCGAAAATAATCCTTTACTTAGTATCGAATTGCGTCCATATGTGCTGCCATAGTTATTTTGTAATATAATATGTATAAGTAAATGAACGACTTAATATTGAAATATAAAACTTTTTATTTTAACAGCAGCAAATTTTTTTTTTGTAATTGACAATGTCAGCAGAGAAAGACTATCGAACATGACAGAAGGGTGTGGGTGTGGGTGTGGGGGGTTGGTGTGAGTGTGGGTGGGTGTGGATACAACGACAAAATGCTCACGCACTCTCACCCACACCCCATCAACCCCTCCCCCCACACCCACACCCACACTCACACCTACACCTACACCTACACCCACACCCACACCCACACCTACACCTACACCTACACCCACACCCATACCCCACTCACACCCTCTTACCCATGTTGCCGTATATTTTCGTTTAATAAACAACTAATGGGAAATTAAAAGAACGGACACCGTAGTAAGCTCAATCCAGGTGTCTTCTATAATTTAAAACCGACCCGGGTCATTTTGCATGTAAGATGTGGGAGAAGTTCTGCACTGAAAAAGTGTTGTTTTTTGCCGTTAAATTTGAGATGTCTCGGAACTGACACGGTGAAATGAGCTGAAACTTTGAGTATTTACTAGTGACAATGTAGTCAGTCTATTCTGAAAGTTTCATGAAGGTTCCATGTACCAGGACCGAGATCGATGGGGACCTTAAGTTTCTAGGAGTGCGATTTTTGTTAGCTTCAGAAAACTGTAATACTAATTGATCTTTCGAAATTTTTTTTTATGAATAATATCGTTGTAGTAGGAACTATAAATGCTGAAATTTTCAGCTTCCTCCAATCATTTTTTGTATACAATACTTAGTATCCAATGGATTATCCCTGCAGTGTCCCAGAACTTTGGGCCAAGGGGCTAACATTTAAACTTATATAACTTTCTATAGAAGCTTCCAATTCACAATGCTATAATAGTATATGAAAGGTCTCTGTTAGATCTATCAAAGCACACCACCATTGCCTCATTATAGCTTCTTAACCAAAAGTTATAAAAGGGAAAACTTTGTCCCAGAACTTTTGTCCAGCACTGTATCTATTCGAATCTTAATCAAATGTAATGGTAACACCAACATGTTTGGGTATAGTAGTCATTTGTTGAATATATCCACCAGCATTTAGTTCAGGACCACCATCACCAAAAGTGACATGTTGCATCAATCTTGTTATGATTACTTTTAATTCAAAACGAGCTAAATCTTGACCAATACATTGTCGATGACCACTGCCAAAAGGAATCAATGCATAAGGCGGATAATCTTTGTCTTCACCTTGAAAACGTTCTGGATAGAATAAACTAGGATCAATTTTCCAACATCGTTTGTCTCGAGTCAAATTATAAAATGAAATGAATACTTCATCACCCTTATGTAATTGAACACCGCTTCCAGGTAATCGATCATCTATAGTTAGTGTACGAGTTGTACCGGCAGCAGGTGGAAGAAAACGAAAGACTTCTCGAAGAACACAGTCTAAATAAATCAAAGATTCAATTTGTTCGATAGTCATACGGTTATGTTTATTATCATTAAGTTCTGCTTTAATTTTAGCTTGTACACGAGGATGTTTACTCATAAAATAAATGAACCAAGCAATTACATATCCAGTAGTTTCAGCGCCAGCCACAAGAAAGAGAAGTAACTCATTAATCACTTCTGTTCGAGATAAACCTTAATAGAAGACATTAGTAAAGCAAATAGGTGCTGTTATAATTAATTTAATGTCAAACTTTTACCTTTTTTTTCATGTTCGGGTTTTGTCGCTTCAGACTTTTCATCTTGTTGCAATGATGTAACCAATGATGCAATTAAACTAGTTCTTTTTTGAGCAGCAATCTGTTCGGATGTTTTTCTTTGTTCTTGTTCCATTATTTGATTCAAACATTCATCAATAATAATTCTTGCACGTTGATATCGAGAATTGAGTTTTAAATAGAGTTTGCTTATAGAATTCGGTATAGTAACTGCTTGAAAAAATATTTCTATAAAATCATTTAAAGCCTGTGTAAGTTTATTTCTTTTATTGATATTAGATTCTTCTAATGCTTCTAAATCATAATCAAAAGCAATAAAACCAAAGATTGCCAATGATAAATTTTGACATTGATCGACAATGTTGAGATGAATATAATTGGGATCACTCTCAGTTTTTGAACGCCATTGATCAAGTAATTTATCAGTACAATCAACAATTAAATCATAATTATTCAAGATTTTTCCACGACGAAATAAAGGAAGAATAATAGCTGCATGACGCTTATATTTGGGTCCTAAAATGAAAAACAAAAAATGAATCAATTTTGAGAAAGTTTGATTTGTGATCTTTTTCAAAAAAGACATTACAGATGTACAGACCTGTATTACAAATGAGTGCATCTTCGAAAACAATCCGATGTTCGTTTACATGTAAATTACCCTGTTCATAAATATGTCGATGAGTGAATACATGTCGAACATCGTCTGGGTTACATACACAAATTTGATGTAATAGTCCAAACCATATTTGAAAAGTATCACCAAATGTATCTTGCAATTGTTTTAAAGCTTCTCCTATATATCTACCACGGGTTACACCCATCTGGAGGATATTGCCAAATAAGAAATGCGGTGATTGACCTGGTATTGGACCGTACAATGTAAAATATTTGAGTTTGAGATATATGAAAAATATTGTTATTAAAATAACGAAAAGGAGAAAAAGCATATTTATGCAATGTATGAGGATGATGAAAGAGAAAAAGCATTTGTGACTTATTTATAAGGAGCTATGAAGCAAAAGAACGAAAGAAAGAAAAAAAACAAAATTTTGAGAATGAGAGTGAGATGAGTATGATGATGAAGGAGACACGAATGAAAAAGAACAGACAGCCACTATGATGCACTTTGGCCTTGCTGAAGAGCTTCCACAGGTAGTATGTAGAGGTGTGTTAGCTCGTTTCGTCGAGGGATTGATAGAGATATTTATTTAAAAGAAAAACATAATCTTATATATACATAAAAATGTCCTTAAAGTGCATAACAACAGAAAAAAAGAAAGAGATAGTTGTACAACAACAAAGAGAAGAGAGAAAACAAAAGGAACGAGGAGTACGGTGAACATATATCACCGTTAACAAGGTGTAAGCCGAAGAGTCAAACAGCGGCGGCGACGCCTCCTAGACTTTATGTTTTTCTATACCGCCGGTGGCTTTGACAACCAAAAAAAAGCGTATTTGCTCTTAAAAGACGAAAAAAATGATCGATGTCAACAGTACAATAAATAAACGTATGTGAACTTCTTAATGTAATAATTTGTCAAGTATCATTCAATAGAAAATGAAATAGATCATTGATTTTATACGCTAAATGTCAAATCAATTGCAATATAGATCTTGAAAAGATCTAGAAAAAAAAAATTCTTGGACTTTTTTAGAATTTGTCCATTTGTTTATACAAGGATCCAAATCCAGATCAGGAAAAAAAATCTCATAAGGTTCTTCAATCTAACGATTCTGTCACGTTCAGAACAAGAATCTAATAAAGTCTTGAAAAACTCTTCCATGTATTACTGTTGTGGTTTTACTCAACATTTGCATTGAAATCCGGTTGTGATCTATATACTTTAACTCTTGGACGGAGGATGTGGGTGTGGATGTGGAGTGTGAATGTAAATGAAAAGTTGCACACCCTTACACCCAACCACACCCACACCTACACCTTTTGGTGAAGAAAAATAAAATAAACATTAGTTTTTGATCGAATCAGTCAAGCAACAGGTGATTAGTCAGTAATCTTAGAAATAAGAAAAAAACTTTTATTGTCTTCCTTCAAGTTTTAGCGACTTACTGATAATTATTCTTTGAGAAGATAAAACTTTCCATAAGAAACACTGACAATGAAGACGTTTGTACTGTCTGTTAAAAAGATCGAACATATTCGGGTCAAATGAAAACTGTTATCGCCATACTTACATTGGTGTGCACCAAGCGAGATATTCAAATTGTAAGATGTATACCATTTGTTCACGATGTCTACGGTTCAAAATTTCATCAGAAGTTTTGCTTCCTTGCTCTTGATCGTTGGATAGAGCTTATCGAATTGCATTAGGAAATATATGTTCCGTAATCTAATAAGTAATTTTAAAAGATCCCATTTGGGCAAAAATTTAAGCTACTATTATTTCTTAAATTTAATGAGACACAGAGCCAAAATTCTCACATTCGTAAACTTATTTGTAAATCTCTCCTTTTTAAATATGAAACATATTTTCTAATGCAACCTGACGGGCTCTATCCAACGATCAACACAAAGAAAGCAAAGCTTTTAATGAAATTTTGGACTGTAGGCATCATACACAAACTGTAAATATCTTACAATTTGAATATGTCGCTTGGTGCATACCAATGACCACTAATATTTTAACTTTGTAAGTGTAGCGGTGAGAGTTATCATTTGATCCAAATATGTTCGATCTTTTTAACGATCAGTACAAACAACTCCATTGTGAGAAATATCAATTATGTCATCTAATGAGAGTGTACATTTGGACGTATGAGTGTTTCAGAATCGGCAAGCAACAATGTCGTATGAAAACATACTCATATTCAATCTCAGCTCAACAGATCGAAGTCTCGAATTTCATTTCTCGAAGATGTTTGATTAGGTACAGGTGTGTATCAAGAGCACATAAGTCCCATCTACATCCTACGGTGAAGTACAATTGGAGTACACACTGTTCGAGTCTCGCTTTTTCCCCTTGCCAATACTTATACTCTTTCGAATTCATTAGTTTTTAATATTTATCATTCTGGACAAGTATTTATGTTATAAAAACAAATGACATGAAAATGAATAATTTAGTAAGTCTGTGTATGTCTTGTCATCTGGATCAGTTGATGTTGTGAAAAGATGTTCGTCTTTTTCACCATAACTATTTTTTTTATAAACTTAATAAGATTAATATTGCCGAAATTACCATAACTTATACCTTTCCAAGTTGGTTTTTGTTTACATATTTCACAACGAATACATCGACGAAATTCTTTTGAATCAAAATCAGTTGTCTACATGTTTTGAGTTGAATTGAGAAAAGAGAGAATTTTCGTAATAACTAATTCTGGTAACTCTTGTTTATCATTTGAATTTGTTTTATTCATCACAGTTGTATTTCTCAGAATTTTGTAATATGTTTCAATACTAACAAGAACAAGATTATTGATCTCTAATTGACATGATTGTAAAATTGGTTGAGGTGGATTGACGATGAAGAAGTTAACGAATGTTCGTCGTCTAGATCGTGTTGTTAGATATTGTATTGAACAAAAACGATGTGGCAATCAATTACTAAATACAATAGCAGTATCAGGTTTTGGTATCACATAACGATTGACATCTTCATATGATCTGCCTCCTGAACGATATCCAAAAGAAAAGCATCCTGTTAAATCTTGTCCCGTATCTTCATCAATTAATAGTATTTCAGGTTCACCAGGACTTCCATAATCTGCATATGGTAATTTTGAAGGACGAAATTTTAATGCACCACCTTGAAGTTTTTCGTCCATGTGCAGATAATAAACACAAAGAGCTACGATATTTTCGTCATAATCTTCAATATGCCAATGATTCGAATATTTTATACCTTTAGATTTACAAAAAGAGAGAGGAAAATTTGTGTTTTAAAAAAGAAAAACAGTTAGGTATGTATTTTACCTGATTTTATATGATAACTTTGGACTTTCATAACGACTTGAAGACGTATATCGACTTCACCACAATTTAATACATTGAGTTTTTTAAACATTGGTACAAGTTTTTCAAATATATTTTCTAAATTTCGATATGTTTGTTCATATTCTTCATTCATTAGTAAGTTCAAAATCGGCGTTTCGATATGAACTTTGTATTGAATTAAAACATTCTCATTTGCATTCAACGGAGAAATACGAAATTGACTTGGTATCCATTTGTAAGTACTTCGCAAGGGCATATATTCATGAGTACGCCAAAACCTTCGAAGAAAAAAAAACATATCACTAATGAAATGATTTAACTTCAATGCAGTTTCAGATGATCTTCATCACAAAACAAGAAAAATGAAATCTATTACTAATAAAAACAAAATAATCTTTTCTGAATGATAGATTTTTTCGCTTTACAGTAAGTTAAACACCTACGTACAGTTCCTTTCTGGTGCTTCAAAATATCCATCAGAATTTCATTTTATTCCATGTGGTTTATAACTAGTAGGTCAGGATCGATGATATCCTCAACTGGAGATGAGTAATCATGAAAATCTTGTCTTTGTTTATTCAATTTATTAAATGTTCTTAATAATTGATGACGATTTTTCATCCTTTTTTTTTTGACTACAAACTTCATCACATTGCCATATTGGATATTCTACAGCAAAATAAACGTTCTTGTGATACAAATCCTAAATTATTTTTCGAGAAAATTTCTTATGAAATGGATGGCCTTCATTATGAAATAGACTGTGATCATAATTATGTTACATGCCGGGAACCGAATCGCTTTTTAACAATTCACCAATATCTGATAAATCATCAGCGTCATTGTTACAATTATTTATTGATGATGTCGCCATAACAAAAAGATAAGGGTGTGAGTGTAGTTGGGAAACAGAAAAACATCCATATTCATATTAACAGCCATTGGGTATCGAAATTTCAAATTAACCTCTCGGAGTGCCATATTCCCATAGGTCGAGGGCTCGGCGATAGGTTATTTTTACTAGCAGTTTTCAACCGCTCGAATGACCGTCTCCGATGGATCGGAATTTGATCGAAAAAAAGAATTTTTGTCCGATAGATGTCTCAATTTCGAGTTGTCCAAACCCATCGAATATAAATTCCGAGTAGTCGAAACTTATCGAATATATGCGGAGAAGTAGTACTGCAATGATTATCCACATGTTTTACCTGAACGTTTCTCTATTATAGTTTAAATATCTCAAGAAGGGAAACGTTTTGACAGCTAAAATTTTAGGCATTTTCAGATCTCTCTTGTGGCTATATACAGACAAAGTTTCATTGAAATCCGTGACATCGATTGAGCAGGTCTACTTGTGGTTCTCGTTCAATGGCTCATAGACGTAGAAGTGATCGTGTATTTGTCTTTTCTTGTTCATTTTTCTTCCCTTCCAGGAGAAGCAGTCATTGATTGGAAAGAGAGCAATGGACACGATACGGTTTTGCCTATCTAGTCAACGATACAATAGTTAAAGTAAGACATTTATCTGCCTCATTCTCTCGTTGTTTTAGGAAAATATCGGACAGAGCTGCTTAACTCCAAAATTACCGCCATTTCCCATTAGAAAGTAGAATTGTTATAGTTGTCTATATTTTGCATGAAAATGACTCGGAAAAAAATGCATTATAATAGACAAACAACAGAAACAAGCAGCTAATAGTTCGAGAATACCACTGACTTGTAAATAAACAGTTTTCAGTGTGACATAATAAAGCCATTCGGTTGCTATAGATGCTGTAACAATACGAGCAAACAGATGCAAATAGATTGTTATCCATACTGATCGAAATTTATAATATGATTTATAAAAGAAATCAAATAGAATAAAAAACCCAATATTAGCCGATGTTGTTCGAACTATTTTATCGCTAAAAAATATTGGTATTAACGTTGCTAAAATAGCTTCTAAACGTGAAACAAAACTAAAAAATTGTCGTTGACGCACTTTGATATGCAGCCTCACATTACAATTCAAATTCAAACGTTGAAATACTTTTTTACAACACCAACAGGATTTATCATGTCTTTTGCAAATGGCGATCATTTTGCAACACCACAATGCTAGAACAAAGACGAAATCCGTCATAACATATCCGACATATCGAATCTGTTGTAGTCGATTATTTTGTTGTAAATAATATAATATATATAGAACATCACCAACGGTCACTATCATCCAAATGAGAGAATGGTAGACTGTTAGTGCTAATTTACAGTTAATAGTAGGAAAATATTGCAGAAAATAAAATATGAAGAAAACTGAAGAAAGAAGACCAGCTGATTTACCGTTGGACACGAGAAGCGTGTAAGCATCGTAGATGTAAGTGGTAAGTGCGACTAATGGTATTGCAAGCATTAAATAGTAGAAAAATGGATCATCATCGTCATCTTC